GCCGTACGTTCACTTTTAGTATGGTTTCCACGCAATCCTTTATAAATGAGACCCCTGGTCTTGTTCCTGTAAATGTTTTGGCTTGACAAAAACCCTGGGCCTTATTCAGAAAGGAGGTGGGGGTTTGTTTGTGTGGTCGGTGGTACTGGGGTGAGAATGGGGGTGTCTTCTCCATAACACTGCCCATCTTTGCAGCTGCCTCCAGCCTTGCGCAATAAAGACGTTTCTCCCTGGCATTACGTCACATACAGTATATGGAAATGAAGGGATTGTTTCCAAAGCCTATGGTTATCATATTTTATTTTATTTGTATTAACTTTGATTTAATCAAGCAAATCCATGGAGATCCCACATCTCTTTTGCAGGGGAGGCCTGAAGGCATCTTATTGTACATGTTTTTAGTCTGTAGGGGAAACCAGATTACCAAGAGAGAACCGATGCTGATGTTGAACCCAGGACCTTCTTTTTGTGACATATCAGTGCTAACCACTGATCCACCATGCTGCCTAAGATATACATGTTTCACTAGATATGTAATATGAAAAAAATAAATGGTSGGTGTCGGACTTTAAAATATCTGATGGTTCATTAGATGTTTGAGTCATGGACAAACAATTGGCTCCAACAGGTAATTCCAGTTGTGAACACAGATGAGATTATGCACAATGGTTCAGATACTGTATGTGTTGTGGGTGATTTTCAGCTTCTGGCATGATTTTTTGCCCAAAATCTTTGAAATGAACTGAAGTCTATTTTTTTTTCTGTTTTATAAAGATTGTTGTGGTCATCTTGAAATTCCTCTGTTAAAAAAATGCACCTGTGGCAGAAAAAGTTAGATAATCAGAGTGTAAAAAAGTGAACAATGATTGGATATAAATGTAATACCTATTAAACAGTAACAGGGATATTCTTGTGTAAAAAGTCTATAAAGCGTATGTTGGGTTTTTTACAACTCATCCATAAACAGGACAGCTGTAGAGAATGTGAAATAAAATAGAACAAAATTTCTTTAATTGATAGCAACTTAGAAATCAACAGATATTTAAAAAACATTAAAGATTGCTCATAACCTGGAGCTGGCTTAGTCTTGACCATTTTCCAACAGGTCCTCTGAGAGAGGAGATGGTCACAAATATAAGCTCAATTAAAAAGAGTGTCTTCCAAGGCTTGGTGCCAGCTTGTGCCGTAGGAAGCAGCGACGACAGCGGGAGTCATGGTAACAGCAGATGGATGGAGAGAGACAGCTTCAAGGAGCAGATAAAGATGATGTCATGTCAGAGGCCACCGTGTCTTTGCTCTCTCTGCTCCTCCGGTTGACACAGAAATCAGCTATAATTATGTAAAGCAGGCGAACAAATATTAGAACACTGCTTAATTATTCTTTTCCAAAAAGCTGCGGTGTACTTTGACTTTAAAAAAAATACTGCAAACTGATGTGCCTAAAAACAAAAATGCCAAATTAATTTCTCACAAACTCTGAAGATCTTTGGGTTCCTCGAAGGCAACATTTCCTGCCCACGTCTGACTTTTAAAAAGGCATTCTGAATTTGTCTACACACACAAGATAAGACACACAAGACCTCCTCCCCTTTAAAATTAGCACGCATTTTCAAAACAGATGAAAAGCCAAAGCTCTTGTATCTTTGCAGTTTATAAAATAATTACAACTTAGCGAGGATGGCGGAGGAGGACAGCAAAACAAGCCCCTGCCAGCTGAAAAAAGAGGGACTTCCTAATAATGTTGAGCCTCTGTATTTTGTCCAGATACTTGATTACTGCTGCTGTCCACAAGTGTCTGGAGGAATGACAGTGTTAGTCCCGCACTCAAAGGGATAGTCTGCTTGTTTTTGAAGCAATGCTCTGTCAAAAAGTTTTCAGTAGTGACTGTGCACCTGGGGTCAGATTTACAAAGGATTGCATGGAAACCATACTAAAAGTGAACGTACGGCCAAAAGGCGAAAATGGCGTATGCAAAAAAATAAAATAAAATAAAATAAAAAATCAGCTTTATAAAACCGTGCATACGCACGTTTCTGCACACCTTTCCTTTACAGATCACAGCTTCACCTCAAAGTTTGCGCACAAGGTCCCGCCTCAGGTTCTGCCCTCTACACGCCCCCACACGCAACCATAAACAGTCAATGTAAAGTACCTCATAAATGTTAAGATGCATTTAAATCAGTCAGCTGATCAATGCCAACAAAAGCGATCTGGAGGATGACAGGTGCTGACTGACAACTGCTCACATGAACTGAATGTCTGTAACTGACAGATTTTCCCTCATTTTGCAGGTTTACAGACCTTTAGAGTAATCTAATGATTTTTATCAAAAACTCAGCTTGAAATTCATTTTCTCTCAGAGCCTGCAGGACGATAAAAACAATAAATAAAATAAAATAAGTCAGATAAAAGTTAGAAATAATTTCACCGCTCTCCTCCTGTCCTCCCCCCTCCTGCCTGCCCTGTTATCTGCAGCTGATTGTCTCCTCACCCCATCACAGCCCCGCACGTGTGAGAAATATGGACTTCAAAAAGTGAAGTTTTATAACATCCACACTGGCGAGGGTGGGCACGCCCGGCGCGAGTACTCAGGCATGACATTTGCTGTCGTTCTGTTGAAATGTCTCTTGTCGGGGAGGGGTCTGTGGGTCAGGGTCGTCTGAGGAGGAAGCAGATAAATGGAGATGCGTGAACTTTTATTTAAGATTTAAGTTTTTTATTTCAAAGGTCCTCATGGCTCAGCAGCAGAATCATAAATATTACTGTTAAGAAAGCTGATGATGAAGCTGAATAAAAATCTAAGTCTGATTATGAAGGTAAATTAAATCTCTGACAGTGATCATTACACAGTGTGGCTCTAACTCCTCACTTCACCATCTGTGTCACAGTTTCATGTCTCCAAAATGAGCGTACACATGGATCAGAGCTGGCTGAGGGACCGCACATTTTCACGTCAAGTTTGAGTTTTATAAATCACAACCTTTGCGTGAAAAGTGGTGTATGCAAGTTTCTGGGCTTGTTTTGTGCATACGCAAGCTTTATAAATCCAACCCCTGATCCATAATTTCAGTAACAGAACACAGACTGTTTTTCAACTGAGCAAATGTCTGTATTCAAATTAGATGCCGTCCACCTTAGAAAAATGTATTCACCCAACAATAATATCTTCCATGTCCGAAGACCTGCTAACACTCTGCTCAATTAACACAAGCGCCAATCTTGTGAGCCTCTCACGATTGACCTCATGTACATTTAGTTAGGAGGGGGCTATTGAGGGGGATTCTGACAATGTTATTGTTGCACTTATCTGCATTACCCACCATAGAATTTAAAGGGATGCTTAGACCACTTGTACAATTGCCTGTAGAGCCAGCTTGGGAGCCTATAAGCAATTGCCTGGTTTGCCTGCCCTGTTGCAATGGCCCAGCTTTCAAGTAGTGCAACACAATAAAAATGTACTTAAATATGTTGAACAAAATACAGACGGTGTTCAAAAAGTGCAGAATAAAGATGCAGAATGTATCATTTCATCAGTACAATGAAAAAGGGGCAATTTGTAAATTAGGTCAGGTGTTTAGATAAGAAGAAACTTGTCCTGATCTGCAGAATTCTGAACATGTTGTAAAGAGTCGTTACTAAATGATCTCAACTTTTCACCAGATATCAAAATACTGCAGGAAATCAAAATTAACATGCAATATCTAAAACAGGTCAAATATTATCGTGCACAACTTTTCCACAGAACCCAACTTCAAAACAGCCGAACTATCCCTTTATGTATCCGTAAAACAAAAGCAGTGTTATGTAAAGTACCTCAAAGTGATACTTGAGTAAAAGTACAAGTATATTATCATAAAATTACTTTGGTAAAAGTTAAAATCTCCTCTAAGAATATTACTTGAGTAAAAGTCTTAAAGTATCAGATTTTTTTGTACTTATCAAAAGTAAATTTCTGATATAAAATATACTTAAGTATTAAAAGTAAAAATGTTGAGTAAAAATGAGCAGTTAGATTTTCCAAAATAAATTTATTGGGAGGTGACCAATTTTTTTTTTCTAAAAACGTGCAGCTGTGATAGATTGTGTACAAATTAATACAGTGTGAGAATGGTATACATTTATACTTCTCAACCAACTACAATTATATTCACTTTATCCTGGAGGCACAAATTTTTAAGATAGTATTTTTTAAACACAAATAAGCCAAAATAAAACAGGAGAAATTACTTTCTACTTCTTACCTTTTTAAAAAGAATGTAAGGAGCAGAAAGTACAGATAACTGTGTAAAAATGTAAGAAGTAAAATTAAACAGTAGGCTGAAAAATAATTACTGAAGTAAAGTACAGATAACCAAAATTTCTACTTAAGCACAGTAACAAAGTATTTGTACTTAGTTACATTGAACAAAAGTGTCTTTAATGTGCAAACTATAGGTGAGTCACCACATCTTAATGTTTCAAAGCCTTTAACAGACCCCCCAAAACAAAACAATTTAATCTGCAGTCACCTGGCATCAGCTCTGGACTGCAGATGGTTTCACAGCTGATGAACATCACGTATTTAACATCACAGCAGGACGGACAGACGCCCCAGGGTCGCTGTGTTACTGTTGCTTTTGTTGGACAAAATGTCGCAGCTCCTCTGACACCTTAATTCACACATTTTCACCTTTTACCTCCTGCACAAAAACATGCGGCCAATCATCAAGAGAACACAGGAGCAATCACTACTAATTAAAGTCTCATAAAATTCTCTGTGGCAGTCTGTTTTTTATATTTAAACAAAAACCAACTACAGTCACTTTTTGACACTGAAAACTGGACTGATAGTAATATGAAGATAAAAATTTGTTTATGCAAAAAAGAAAAAAAACATTAGTGTTATTTTTGACATTGAACTAAAAATCTGTTCTTTAGATCAATCAAAACTACATAAAGTTTTAGAATTTTACTTGTTAGCTTTCCTGTGTCATTCTAAAAAAAACTGGTCTTTAAAATCGTTTATAAAATATTTAGTCAGAAATGGGATTGATTAGCTTTTATAAAATAACATTAATGTGAAAAGATACAGCAAAACAACAGAAACCTACTGTTATTAATAAATACTGCAATCCAAAAAGGATGAATCCACTGTATATTCAGTCACTGGCTTTAGAGATATTAATAATCAACTTTTCATTAATATGAAATTGTTGATGCTTTTTTTAGTTCAATGTGAAGTACTTGCACATCATTGACTGTGGGACACAGAGGTACTGAGTAAAAAATACACTTTTTGATGACTACTTCTATGGAGCAAGTAAGAAATAATTTTGTATTTCTGTAACTTACTGCATTGTTTTAATTCTGTGACGGCCCTGCTGCGCCTCCTGCTTACAGCTGATTAGGCTGGCAGGTGCCTTCTATCAGGTGTGCTTCCTTTTAAGGTCCTGAAGGGGAGGAGTCGAGAAGACCTGAGCCTGTCTTAGGGAGCACCTGGTGTGAAGTGAAAGTAAGGGAGCAGTCAGCACGAGCACTGTGTGACAGAGTGCGAGGTGTCTCTGCAGCGCTGGAGCAACATGCTGCATTGAGGAGACGAGAGGTCTGAGGTCTACAGTAGTGATGGGCAAATGAAGCTTTTCTGAAGCACTGAAGCTTGCTTTRAAAAAGGGTTCATTACTCGAAGCTTTCCAACACAGCTCTCTTTGGCGCCATCCTGTGGCCAAAAGTATGAGAAGCTGCTTGAAACAACACAAAGTGAAGCGCTTCATCGTGAAGGAGATGACAGCCTTTTAATGAGATATTTCTGTTTGATATCAGGCTGTCATTGTGTTGCTTGAACAGATTTTATTTATTTATTTTTTGTGGGTGGGAATAAAGTTACTGTTGATTATGGTTTATTATAAATAAAATAAAGTGTGCCTGTGTATTTTATACTGAATTATTTCAAGTTCAAGATCTTAATTCATTTTCATTTAAAAACAAAATTAATTCTATACACACATAAAATGA